ATGGAATAAAACGATTTCGATTTAAAGCTTTCGTGACTGCAGGGATTCATCTTCTTGGTTCTTTCGGTAAAGTCACGTAGAAGGGAAATAATAAAATAATAGAAATAAAACAAACAAAAAATATTTATTTAATATTTATAATGTTAACTTTTCATTATTTTATTATTTCCCTTCTACGTGACTTTACCGAAAGAACCAAGAAGATGAATAAAACATGTTCAGTAGAGACACCGACCGGCCCTCTTGATTCCATAACGGTGGCACGAAATCTGTGATGGCTTGCTTAGTTGATTTTAATTGCATTTATTTCCTCACGTTTATCGGCAGACATGTAAAAATTGACATACGCTGGGCGTCCGTCTGTCCTCCGAAAACCGTGGGAAATTCAGCAGAGGTGCGTGGCCAGTGCGACGCGGTGACATCGACGGTGGCATCGTCGATGTTATTAAGCCCTCGGCTTAAAACCCGCTTTGAGCCTGGTGCGTGGAAATTGTAAATGTATCATGCAAATGAACGTGCAAAATTGGATGGTAAATATTTTATTCAACTTGGCAATAAATTGAGGCGATAATCAGAAAGTGTATTGATTAGATTTAAGTAGTCAGTTGTAGATTCTGTCAAGAAACCAAAATTTAAACTTTGTTCTCGTATGGCAAGTGCTTCTCCACGATTATGAATGATGATCTAGTGGCATTTCTGGGTTGCCTAATGGTAGTGCTGGGTGGGTCTAGTGGTAGTGACGGGTCGTCTAGCGGTAGTCACGGGTCGTCTAGGGGTAGTACCGGGTGGTCTAGCGGAGGTGCTGGGTGGTCTAGCAGTAGAGCCAGGTGGTCGAGCTGTAGTGCTAAGTGGTCTGTTTTCCACTGCGTGATGCTTGACAAAGTGAATCTGGCAGTTCCTATAAAGACAATCCCAGACTTTTGTGCAGTAGGGAACGGTGAGGGGGGGGGGGCTGGCCCCTGAAAAATGCCACGGGAATGGAGTCTAATACAGTGCGGTATTTACATAAACACTCTCCCTTTGCACACGTGCGCGACACGAAATGCACCGTGAATAACAAGACCGTGCCTTGCATAAAAAAAAATAGAACAAAACACGAAACAAATCGCTCCGTGCGGATGCCAGTGCGTCGCATCCACTTTCGTAATAAACTTCAGCCCCCTTCATAATTTAGCGAGCGTAGGCGCCGTCATGAATTTCACGGCGAGTGGAATGGGCCCCAAGCCAGAATGACTTCTCGGCGCTTTGCTCCCCCGGCTCTGCAAAATACCCGTCGGTTCCACCCCTCCACCCCCCCTCCCCTCCGCCCCCGCCCCCCCCCCCGTCTTTCGTTGGCAAAGCCTGTGGTGGCTCATATATTATCTGGCGACGCCGCGGCTTAGAGTCATGCTTACGACTCTGAGCAGGCAGTCTGAAGAGCCGAGCGCTTTATTAACCACTGGCTTATTATTATTCTTACTGTTACGTGACATCTTCTCAATGCCTGTTACCCGTTGCAACGAGCACAATTTATGGGGGTGCGGATCGCGACTTAAAATTTTAAGGGCGAGATCGGTTTTATTTTGTTTTCTTCTCCAGCGCAATTTTTCACTGCGCATTTCTGTTGCTGCGCATTCTGCGATTTGGTCCGTTGCTTTTGATTATTTACTCGTCGTACTTATTCTCGCTTTTCCTCCACCACGTTCTGTAATTTTTCACGGTAAAGTAGCGCTGCCTCGTTTCCGAGGGGCGAGTATTCCTGTCACTCATCCACTCTCCCCGCCTTCCCGATTGCACTTTGTGGCGTGACTTAAATACCACGCGCTGGCTGGGAGCCATGGATCATGGCGATGCCGCCTTGGGCAGGAATACTCCGTTCATTTGCTTCTCTCCTCGGTCTGCCACCCCCTTCCCAAGCTCACCCTTCCTCTCCGTTCAAATACTAATTAAGTTGTTACACGCTGCACGTGCATGATGATTGCTAATCGTACGGCAAATGACGTAGGGGAGAGAGCGCAGATTCAAATTAAGATGGATATCTTGTGTGTGTATTTATGTACTTGTGTTTCCCGTGTAATGTACAGCACTCTTAATTTGAATCAGAACTCTCTATGCATTCATGTGCGGCTATTATTCAGCAATGCAGTGTGTAACTACCTAAATACGTATTAGAACTGTGAAGACCGGCAAATGTGAAAAAGATGATTGTGGTGGGTCAAGGACTGGAGTTTGGGAGGTTTAGGCGGTGTATGGGCCCTGCGTGAACGCGAACCTCAGCGTTACCGACTATCGCGTAAAATAACGTGCGTGGCTCTCACAGTAACCAATGTGTCAGCATGCGCTAAAGTTAGAAACAGATAATTGTCAGTTTGGAAGTATTTCCCTCTCATACCCAATTAGTGCAGCTAAAGTGCTTGCAATGACTTATTTAAACGACAAACATTTTTTTTACCAGGCAAAGGCCACTGAGCTATATAGCTCTTTTTCAGAAGCGACCTGGTCACAAACGGTAGCTCAACGAAGTGGCTTATCACGTGGACATTTATAGCAGCCAAACATTCTAAATTCACGATTCTGTTTGTGGGTTGAGAGCGGGAAGCTTCACGTGAACGCAGGCTGTCTGAAAGAAAGTCGCAGGCCGTGCAAAATCAAGCCATGTGCCCCATGCATGGAAGCCATGTTATTGTAGGTTCCACACCTCTGCGAAATGAGGTCCTTAGGCCGTGGTCGCTGCTGGTAGCTGCTGGTTGAGGAGGCTGTGGGGTGAGTTAACAGATGCCACGTCTAGTTGTCTAGTTTCCAATAATGCGTGCAGGTAGTTTTGTTGAATGATTGGAATGCCACGGGGATAGCTTCATTAACGCTTCCCGAGCAGATGGCAGCATTAAGTTCATGCCGTGTCCCAGGGGAAGGGGCCTGGATCGGAGCCCAGCTTCGGGAGCATTACACGCGGTCTCTGCATTCCAATTATCAATTAAAGCACCTGTAACGCATCAGCTGTGACTAATAACCCCAGGCGGAGCTTGTGCTGACCCGATTCCCTCAGAGGCTGGAGGCAAGAGCCACCACCACTGGCCGTGTCAGCTGATGGGACAAAACTGTGAAATTTCCCTGACAATACTTCAACGGTAAACATAAAACTAATGGTCCGTAGGTCAATTAATTTTACATGAGATAAGATACATTATTTAACTAGGAAGAAAGATAATACCTATGCGTGTTTCTGTAATGCTTTAAAAAAAGCGTTTCTCATCAGCATTTAATTAAGGATAATAACTTTACGTTCAAAGCCACACAACATGATGACGTCACACGCTATGTGAAGTACTCGCAGTGTCACAGGTAATGACGTCAACGCAAGGCAAATAAATCCCTTCTTAGCGCTACATTTTAATCGCCAAATTTTGCTTTCATCAAGTGGCCAGTTTTCTCTAGGCTAAGTTCAAAGGGTTGGCCTCTCCCGACTGCACACCCCCCCCCCCCGCCCACACCTGTCAGACAGAGAAAATTCTTCATCACTTTCAACCTTCATGAGAAGCGTAAACATATTCAAATAAACTCAGTGTGTCGGCCACAGTGTTTCCCGCACCTCCGATTAGCCCGGTTGGCTACGTACGGTGCGAAAGTTCAAAGCACATACATAAATACAGGGGCACAACAGGTCAGAAAGAGAGACAGCTGGGGAGATGTGCAGACAAATAAGAATGTCCGTGACAAACGAGGACAGACAATGAGGGAGGAGGATGGATGTGGGCTGCATCGACGTACACCGAGGCAGCCACGAAGCATTTGCGAACCATGTATTGTGGTCACACAAAGAGCTTTACCCGATGTTATGATTCACATTCAATCTATTGCCAGCATTATCACGTGTGCCTGACAGACGCAACAATGCACTCCCCTCCTAGCACCACCACCCCCCAACCTACTGCCACTCACATCACTTCCGCCACCCACACGCTCGTTAACCATTTACCCAATCAATCGTTCACATCAGTTGAGGCAACAAATTAATTAATCAGGGAAACAATGGCGTCAGAGAGTTCAGAGTTCAGTGTACCTGAAATGCAGAAGTAAATGAAAACATAAATTTCTGGGTTGTTGTAATTTTTTTACAAAACTGGAAACATCTAACATCACTTGACACTTCCCAGCAGCTAGACCTGGATTTTGTCAAATTGTGCAAACAGTTGTTCTACCTATCTCAATAACATTGGTGAACAAATACATAAGGTTGCACTTATTACATTCAAAGTTCTTGCAACAAAAGAACTACAATACCTTGCTAATCTCATCAATGTGCATAAACCATCACGCAAACTCTGGTCATCCTCGCAACATTGAAGAAAAATAGTCACTGCATCGCGCGCTTCAGGTGCGCTTCTACGGCCGTCTGGAACACTCTTCCGATATTAGGAAGCCACCGGAGCAATGCACTTTGAAATCTCGATTTAAAACTTATTGTCCTTTCTCCAGACCTCCGATTAGCAAGGTTGGCTACGTACGTTGCAAAAGAAGTTCAACATACACACATACAAACAACTGCTCACTGTGAAGGGATGTGACAATATTAGAATTGAAATAGAACGCCTCTCGACTTAAATGAGCGACCACATCGGTGCCCCCTCTCTGTACATGACCCGGATCTGGTAGCGGTAAAAAGGATTAGAGACACAAGTTACGTAGTTTTTCACGTTTGTGCTGCTTCTCCAGGGAACTGAATATTCCGCGAACTATTCCGTTCTGAAGAAGCTCCCAGCACGTACAGCAAATCGTCAGACATCGTGCCGAACGACACACAGTACGACACGAAAACGCATGGGAGAGCTTATCGCTTCGGTGACAGTTTCCTACAGAACAGCACGGCGGTGAGCATGGCATCAGCAATTCGAGAAAAGAAGACAAAAATACACCTCTACACAACAAATTCGCTGGGCGATCGCGAGTATCAACGATCTGGTGAGATCCCTCGAGACTTCACGTTCGCGAACGGACAAGCTTGCTATGCGACCGCACCTCACCTGTCCCAGAATTGGTCCCAGTGGTGGCCCAGGAATGGCCTGGCCGGCACGGATGATTGTGCGGATAGTCTTATTGTGGTCCACCTTCTTCATGGCCTTGGCCGCCTTCCCCATCTTCGTCACCTTCGACATCCTCGGAGTACCCTGTGGGGGTGCGGCGGGAAGGAGGCCATTGGGAAAGGAGAACCTCGCTAAGGACCGAGCGCCGAGTGGCCAAAATGCAACAAACGACGTCTGAGCATCTCCCTGCTCAAGTAAGCATCGAGCGACAATCAGCAGCCTTGTCCACCGGCCATTGTGAGCCAGTGTTAAAAAATTCCACATTCGCCCAAGAAGATTACTGTTGAACCCGGCGACCAGCATTTGATTCCCAGTCATGCCGAATATCAGTGATCAGTACTGGGCACTCCCCACCACTCTCTAAGCCCTTTACTGACCAGCACTAACCAGCATGATGAAGTATGCATGGTCAAACAACCCCCATAATTGACAGTGTTGGAGGTCTTCATCCAGCAGTGGATTAGCAAAGGGCTGCAAATATATGTATAAGAATGATAATTTCATCAATCCTTTTCCTGGCATTAAATACATTTCCACCAAATTCATTGACATTTTGAGATCAAGAATATGTTCGTAATTCTCGAGAGATAGTTAAAAACTACGACATGTTAGAGTAACATCCTGCAGAAGAAGATATCACAGAACAACTTCTGAGATCCCTTTCAAAAACTTCCTAAATGTAATCTTTATTCAAAACTGTGATTGTGAGATGCGTGCTCTAGCCATGGTGTCAAGTGGCCAGAAAATATGAAAATTATATAAATAACAGCAGAGCTCCGTGATCATGCCTCTAGAGTAACTAAAATTATATTCTTGGGTCTTTCGTGAAGTCACGTAGATAGGTTCACGTAGATAGGTTCGAAGAAACCTATCTACATGACTTGACCGAAAGACCCAAGAATATGAATTCCTGCAGTCACGAAAGCTTTAAGTCAATATTTAACTAAAATGAGTTCCACTCTGTACATGAATCAACAGTGGTCCTCCTATATAACTATTGGCCCCTGCCAGGGGAAAATGGAATTTTCACCACCAACTTTAGGCAACCAGAAAAGATGAATGCCGTTCCATTGTATGCTTGAGTAAGGAGACATTTGACATTCACAGCCACACCAAGCCCAACACACTTTGTCTATTAACATGACAGCTGGAATAATTTTTTTACAATGAGTTGACAAGCAAGCTGATGCAAACCTCGACAAGTAAAAGAAAGAGTGGCCTTTTAAAATCATTATATGATAATATAAAACAATTATGCAGTTAAGGGGCTTTGCGTAATCTCCGAAAGAAAATTATGTATAATCTATCCGCCTTCAGGGGCACTTTGAGGAAATCGAACGCAATATCCCTTGTAAACCAGCACACACCCCAACCCCTGCAGAGCAGCTCTGAAACAAAGCTAACTACGTTAATTATAGCATCCTAATTTCCTTTCAATTAAGCCATTACGAACATCATCAAACTTTCTATTGGGTTATTTTTGTTGCCATAATGAAAACTGCGCTGCGGCAACGTGAATGCACAAAGCTTCACACTGCGCGTTTTCTCCCCCGCCAACATGATGGCGCAAGAGTATAAGATACATTGCCGCATTAGCGTTGGTGTGAATGAGCATTTGCCAACGAGGGCTGATGCTTGTGAGAAAGAGCGCTCGTCCCAAGATCGACATGTGGCACAATCTTTGGAGCACCAATCACACGTACAATCCATTTTTCGGGGGATATGTGCAGGGAGTGTGATCATTCTGTTAATTAGATTGCAGGGACCTGCTGTAAAGTGTATTATGAAAGCACTTTGCTACGTCAACACTGAGCTCCTACCTGTGAAAAATAATGAACTTATTCGTTTTCTCTTTCTTTGGGATATCAATATCGGTGCAAAGTTAACGGAGTTTGCTCTGCTTCGCTCTGGATTTCGTGTTATTCTGATGATAGCAGCTAGCAGCAAAGAGTGGAAAATATATTTAAGAAATGTATTGCTCATATATGCAACTTTTCAAAAGGTCAGGACACATTCTTAAACATTTTTTATAATTTAGCCATTGAATGTTGTCCATGAGTTTTTATATTTACTTCGTCTGCCAACGTGTTATAAACAATTTAACATCCAATCTATTTACACGTGAATACATACTCCACATTTATACACTGTTGCATTGTCAACGTTGGAATGAATGAATTTCAATTATTTCACAAACCAGTTCAAGGACAACAGACTTATGGGTAATTTTCTAAAAACAATTACTAAAGCGCTGCAATGAAGCCAATTATGTAAATCACGAAAATGCAACTGTACTTCAGTGAAGTAATTATAAGGAATCGACTAATTAGACGTAGGCTGCTTCATGACGGAATCCTACCGCTCGTGCATGTAATTACCACACTGCTTGCATGCACATTTGTGCGTGCTTGAATCTGTATGTAGAGTACGATTGAGGCACGACTGGGTTTAATCAAATATAACAACCTTCCCGCTTTCGTGTGGCATTGTGAATGCTGACATCATGCATTGGGCATTTCTGTATGCAATTGACTGTGTGCTTTTGCATCACCATAATCATTATCACCATAGTATGTATCATCAATGGAGAGAGCCAAAATGGTGTTTTGTAATTGTTCAACTCCTCAATTTATGTATATAATCCTGAATTTCTTCACATCTACGTTTTAAATTCAGATGTCCTCAAATGAAAAGCGATTTAATTGCACACTATATCATAACTACTCAAGAAATATTTTTTTTCCCATTTTCTTAAAATGCCTATCATATTAAACTAAGGTGTTACCATTTACCAACAAAATATTTCAAAAATTACAAACGGTACGTGAGTGTCTATTTTTAAATCGCTCCGTTAAACCGGGTTATTCCAGACGATTTCTGCTGTCTCTATGATCGAAATTCCATATTCAACCAAAAGTGGAATTATAATATTTAAGAAAACACCTTGCTCAGAGCGTTAAGAAATACATTAATTCGGAAAGGCGATTCATAGTGAGTTATACACGGGTTAATTTACAATTAAATAGAATATATCACGACATATATACATGTAATTTTCAATTTCAACATCGCTCCAAAAAAACGTGGATGTTAGATGCCCTCTGGTGGCCACTATCAATGGGCGTCATGCCACATTCTTGTTTACATGTTTTTTGTTAATTCCACAACGGTTTACGTTGCCGCATGTGACATCCATTCATACGGGTCCATTGAAAAGAGAAATAAACATGGCCATTATAACATTTGAATTGGCAATCTCAGAAGTATGATCTTGACAATATATAGAAGCGTGAGCAGAGACCGCCACATTTAAAACATTCCAAGCATTCCCCCTTTTACAAACGAAGTAATCAATCGCAACGGGCTGTCACTACGTCAGTAAAAGCTGCACATCAAGTCAATCGGAACAATCAGGATAGCTCCTTGAAAAATCTGGACAGTCCCATCAGTGAGCTCCTCTGGAAAGCGAGGCTGCGGTGACCGGGTCATGTAGTCCGCATGCCCAGCCACCCCATGCCCAAGCAGCTTCCGTGAGGCCGGATAGATGGGGCTAAACGAGCGCGGCACGTACTCGAGAAGAGATGGACTGATGAATGAGACAATGCCTATTTGGCGAGTTCAATATTGACGCAACCATTGGTGGCGTTTATTCTAAACCGCAATGAAAGTTTGCCACGTATCCCTGGTCTACGCTGCACACCTTGACAGAAACTCGTTTATCAAGCTGTCCGAACGTCGCCTCAACGGCGAAACACCAACAACGTACCCAATGCGTTCATTTGCCGCGAAAATCAACTGCTTTTCAGGGGGCACAAGCAAACACCATTACATCTGTAAAAAAAATTGTTGAATGAACCGATCCATAATGTACAATATTATTTCCAATCAAAGACGAATTAACGCATGGCTCTACGAGGAGCCAGCCTAACCTGCGAAAGTCATTCCACCTTGACAGTTGTATAACAACACCAACATTCGTACCGGCGAAACGGTAGCGACACGTCAGGAGGTCCACCAGTTACGCCCCTGCAAAAGGGGGGGCTTTTAGCGCTAATGCAATTGCAATGCTTCACCTCGCCTCGTGTTAATAGGTCGTCGCAAATTCTCGCCTTTTCGCCGCTCAGCGCCACTGCACGAACACGCACCGCCTGGGCGCCGCCATATTGGGTCACGGCGCCTCACGTGGGCACGCGACCTCGCGACCGACACAACTTCCGGCAATTTTTTTTGTGAAATACTAAAACCGCTGCGTTTTCATGTACTAGAATTACGGGTATTTGTATTAAATACATTTTATATCGACGTGAATAATTACACTGAGAATTTAGATAGAATTTAAATTACCCATGAAAATGGGGCTCCTCAATTTCCGGCGGCCGCGACTCGGCGGCTTTGGCGGTTCAAGTCGCGTCACGTGGGCGCGCGACCTCCCACGTTGACCCCCAAGGTTCCGGAAGTCGCCTTCATTCACGTACAACAAAACGAATACGACAAATAAAAAAAACAAATTTACACTTTAAATTACTGCCACAAATACGTGTAAACGCACCAAGCATCAAAATACAATTTATAAATTATCCGAACGAATTGAGGAGGGGGGGCTTTCTTTAACCCCTCCCCTCTATCCCCCATCACGATTTCCGGTGGCCGCGAGACGGCGTCATGGCGGACGCGCAGCAGCAGAGCGCGGAAATCAGCGCTTTCAGCAGCTGGACGATGCCGGAGCTTCACTCGAAGCTCTTGGAGCTCGGGCAGCCGGCGCTAGGTGAGCGATGCAACACAGGGAGCTGCCTCGTTCGAGGGGTTCGACCCCCCCCCTCCCCTCTCTCTCTTCCTCGCCGTCCTCCACCGTCGCGGTCTCGCGGGGGTGCACGCGCAAGGCCTCGGGTGTTAGGCGAGGCCTAAGTGTGGCGGCGTCGTGGACTGGGTTTGCGCTAGATTTGAAGCTTTCGTGACTGCAAGGATTAATATTCTTAGGTTTTTTTTTATTATATATACGGAGTGGTATCTCCTGTAATCTCTCATTTACTTGATACAGCTGTCGGGCTGTGACGGTTCCACCTGAAGACGGAAGCTTGTGTTGCCTCCGAAACGTCGTGATTTTTATTTTATTTTACTTTTATTAATTTTTATTTTTTTACCTACGTGACTTTACCGAAAAAAAAAACCTAAGAATATGGGTTTGCGCTGTTGTTGACGTTAACGTCGCATCCATTGATTTGTTTTTAAACTACCTTGTTTTTAATACGTTAATAGCATGCTAGCGTTACCGTTATAGATTGGATTACGTTCTAACATTCGACGTTCTTACTGTTGTGTTTACTCTGGACTATGTGTCGCGCGCTTCTGCGGCCGTCGAGAACGCTCTTCCGATATTAGGAAGCGACTGGAGTTATGCACTTTTAAATCTAGATTGAAAACTCATTCCTTTGTAACTGCTGTTTGTGTTGAGTTTCAGCGTCTATGACAGTGGCTCTGTGTTTGATTTATTTGATTACAGGACAGAAACATGAACTTGTACTGCGCTTACAGACCTACTGCAAGAAGGTAATAAATATCCATGATTATACATTTGAATATTATATACGTGTATACATTATAATTGGCCACATGCTACTACAGGATTTTGGTCATTCGTCTTAAGTGCACATTAATACCATCACTAACCAATTTGTGTCTTAATTTGCATCTTTGTTGAGTGTGTCTGTTTCATGGTGGAGATGAGTTTATGCTGTAAAATGTTAAATCTTGGCTGTTGCCAATTATTTTTGTATAGTAGTGGTCATCTCTTCAGAATGTTACCACTCGTCTCACTTCATCCAGCAGTATAGACACAAATAAGTTGTGCTTACCTCTGAATGTACACCTTTGCTTGCTGTATTGAGTGATTGTGTTTCTCATCATGGATGTTAATGTCCTAATGCCACAAATTAAAAAAAACACTGCTTCAAACTGTATAGATATTTTGTTCCCGTGGTCAAGCATTATGTAATGTGTGAATAATATCACCTTTGCTTTGTGCAGACTGGAGCCATCCTTGCACGAGCTCCTGGAATGCCTGAGATGGGAAAAGCAGACTCTGGGACCCCAGCAGAACAAATGGTAAGTACCCAGCGACATGTCGCCTTTGATTCGTCTCCATGTGCACAGTTATCATTCGTTGTGTACATCGTGTCTGAGTTTCCACTAAGTTCACTAAGAAACTAGAACGACCGATGTGGTCTGGTGTCAATGCAGGACAAGCTGAATATTAATACACCCCTATAAGAACACAATTCTGATATAAACAACACGTGCTTACATGACGATAATGTATGTATGTTGAACTCCTTTCACACCGTACGTAGGGAACCGCACTAATCGGAGGTACGTAGCCAACCACATAACAAAATAAGAATGGTGGGGGAAGGCAAAGGGCACCTTCAGATACAAGCACACTTGCGATATAAGCAAACTTGAGATATAATCTCAAAAGAAGTGTGCATATATCCAGCTTCTGTAGCATTATTGTCTGGGATTTAAATATCATTGGTCCCATCACTCCCTCATTTTTTTTTGCTGTACGTCTTTATAATTTCTTGTTGACAGAACTTGCCATGCAAAATGTTGGTGTCTCTTTCTGTGTTTTGCCACAGATGGCACAAGCCACCATGCAACAGGTCCAGGAGCGAGCAGCTAAGATTCTCACTGAAACGCTGGTAAGTTCACGCTCGCTTCTCACATGCTACGGAAATAAAAATCGTAATTAATTTATTTTTGGCGACTCCTTCCCACCATGCACATAAACACCGCGACGACCCACCTAGCACGGATCACTCTGTTGTCATGTGCAAGCGCAGCGAGGACGAATGCGCAGAAGAGCTGAACAAGCGAATGCACTCCATGTTCGGGTATGGGCAGGATCATAAGTCTTATCCAAAGCTGCTCAAACTGCCTACGCGACTGAAGTCCGTTATTTGTCGTAACGGTATGCATTATACAGTGAAACTGCTCTCTTATCTTCATTATTATCTGTGACCTACTAATGTCAGCAGCCAGGATCAATCGATGGCAATCTTATTACCTGCAGATAATTTTACAGATGAGATTCGGTGCACTGTTAATTCCTCCTATTTCATAATACTTCTCTTGTCCGTATGCATCTGTGCAGATAGGTTTTTTTTTGCGGTTAAGCCATAGTCCACACATACCGCTCGTATCAATGCGGATAAGAGGAGCGGCGACCCACTACTCTGTAGAGTAATATTGGTATTAAAGCTTGTTACAATATGAACAGCACATTTAAAACTCGTACTAATTTATGTACTGTTTCCAAAGTGTATTAACAAATCTACACTTAGAAACAATGATTGACAGAGGGGTGTAAAAAAAAATTTGATAGTGTATTTTAATAGAGGTACTGCAGGTAAGTAATTTTCAGTTTTAAAGGCCACCATCCTTCAAACCCATTGGTGAAAAAGAGCAAAGTTTTAGTTTACATTATAATGTTATGTTTATGCGAGAGCCGTGGGCTTATGGGACCCCGGGGTCCCGCCATAAGGTTCATATATATAAATGTAAAAGGCGTTTGGAAGATTGCTAAGATGGCTTAACATGTTTACATAACTGAAACAAAGAAACATATTTATGAACATGATAAAAATGTACGCAGTCTTTTTATTTTCTCAAAATAAATTATTTACTGCACACGATGCTTTCTATTAAATTATTGATGGGAGTGATCAGTATGCTATTGTAAAGTCAATGCATTAATCGCAGCATACAATGCCAGTCCTTGCTGTTGAAGACAAGCAATTCTACTTTGTTAAACTATGTTACTCAACTTATTCGAATAAAAATAGAGAGATTTTTACTTGAGCAATTTTTAGTTCTTTATACTTTTTTATGGAAACCCAGTAAATCCTGGCACTGTAGTAGAGATGCTTGTGTTATAGCAACAATAATGATGATGCTCATGTGTTCTGTACCTGTGTGCGCAGGTTAACGTGCTGGCAAAGGGTGGGCAGATCCCAATGTCATCTTCCGGGGTTCCCCAAAATGTAATGGGTCCGTCTGGGATGCCTTCTTCCACGATGACCCCATCGACGATGCCCCACTCTGGAATGCCCCCGTCAACCATGCCCCAGTCGGGAATTCCCCGTCCTCCCATGCCACCCTCGGGCATGGCTCTGCCGGGCTCCATGCAAAACGTCAATACCTCCCAGCTGTCGGAAGATGACAAGTTGAAGCTTGCTCAGCAGCAGGCCGCCATGCTTATGCAGCAGGTAAGGTGACAGATGAACTGGTTTAGCACCCAACAGAGGCTGTGCAGGACAGCCAACGGTGGAGAGAGTTGGCAGCCGAGACATCAGTGCCACTCCCATGACCACTGTGATTAAGGGAGAGATGATGATCCTGTGGAGGTCCATCGGCTGTTCACTGTCATCGTCCCTGCTCATTGGCCATCTTTGGGCTTGCTGCCATTGATAAAATCTTTCCAACCAAGATTTAAAGCATTTGTGCATTGACTGTCTCCGTCTTTAACAAGGGGGCGCTATAATTGTTCTAAAGATCGAATATTAACAAAATAAGTACAGGTATCACTTTTTTGCAACGAGGGACTTCAATTTGAAACCACCCAAATTGATCAAAGGGTTGCCCAAAACTCGGAGACAAACAACTATTCACGTCATTATTTTTCTATCTGCGTGACTTTACCGAAAGAACCAAAGAATAAGTGTAAAAACACTGCAAACATATAAATGCATTTCACTTTGGCAGTCACCAGTCGTCAGTTTCCATTTTACTAATTCAATACTTCTGATGACAACGACTATTGAAAAGTGTTGTATAAGTCACACGTAGGCATGATTTTTCCGCACTTGTTCTAAGGTGCAGAATTCGGCTATGCTAAGGTGATCCCATCACCTGAGCAGCTGATGTTGAATCATAACCTGTACACATAGGCCTGAGGCAAGGGTGCTGGCCACTCGCACACTGCCCTGTCTTAAAATTGTATTCTTAAGTGCATTATTGTAGTGTGTGTGCGACGTGTTGGCTGAGTGTTTCCAAAGACAAGGATGTTTTTTTTTCCTTAGGAACGCGAGGCAAAAATGAAAAACCAGGAGATGGTTCTTCTTCAGCAACAAAAACGCGTAAGTCT